CGGCACTTGGTAAGCCTAATAAATACGCCCAACTCAGCACCATCACTTCTCTTCTCTCTGCTGTTCACAGTCACGTAGAGAGGCAGAGAATTTGTTAAAAGTGGAGTAGAGGAGCACATAATCAATGTAGGACCAAATAAGGAGTTTTATAGTTACAATCAATTGACAGAAGGCCTTAGAATATTGGTGAGGCCTCGTAGAGTAATATTACTATCGTAAGCCTTCCTATTTTGGTCCAGAGCATACAATCAAATCAGAGCCAATGTGCCAAAATGTTGTCCCAGATTGGGCCCATTATTGTTTTTAACTGAGTGTATTTTTAATAATATTTAAGGTATAATTATAGGATGGGTTTTTTTAAAAAAAAGTTATTGCCCCTTTACTTTGTATGTAACTAATCTTTCAGGTACTTGATCCATTTGTTTGGGTTAAGCCCCCCTTTTCTCTTTCTCTTGGGCTGTGTGGAAGGCCCAAGAAGCAGAAACTCACCTCAATGGTGAGATGAGTGCTGTGGATGGCCAACTCTTCTCCCTCATGGAGGATGTAGCCTTTCACCTACTGCTGAGACACCTGGCTCCCTGGTACTCTGTCCCCTTGCAGAGGACCATGAGCCGATGAGTGTGGCCTGCCATGCAAGGGTGAGCTCTCCAGAGCATGGGGCAAAACGGTGCACTGCACAGCAGACCTCTGGAGCAGCTAGCAGCATGGCCACCTCTCCCTCACAGCCCACTGGTGGCAACCAGTGGACCTGTCTCTCTGGACTGTCGGGGCACGGATTCCAAATGATACATGCGACTCCTTTAAGTAGTGCTTGCCATATTTCACTGCTCGCAATATAATGTAAACCTGTTGGATTCCAAATGATGATTGTGGCTCCTTTAAGCGATCCTTGCCAACTTTCAAAACTTGCAATGTAATATAGTTGTATAAAGCCTCCTGTTGGATTTCAGATAATGCATGAGGCTCCTTTAAGCAGTCCTTGCTAGTTTACGAAACTAGCAAATATAATATAGTTGGATATAGCCTGACAGAAACGCCGGCATAAATCTTCTATTTCAAAAATCTTCAGAGGCTAATGGTTCACCATCATGCTTATTAGAACTGATCAAAGAATACTGATACCAGTGCATAGAGTCTGACATGTCATGCATCCTCGTTTAGCATAAGAAAAGGAGTAAGACAAGGATGTATATTGTCACCCTGCTTATTTAATTTATATGCAGAGTACATCATGCGAAATGCCGGCCCGGATGAAATCACAAGCCAGAATTGCAGGGGAACACATCAAAAGCCTCAGATATGCAGACAATACCACTCTAATGGCAGAAAGGACCTAAAGAGCCTCTTACTAAGGGTAAAAGAGGAGAGCGCAAAGGTTGGCTTGAAACTCAACATCCAAAAAACTAAGATCATGGCATCCAACCCCATCACTCCTTGGCAAATAGAGGGGGAAGTTGTGGAAGCAGTGACAGACTACACGTTCCTGGGATCCAAGATCACTGCAGACTGTGACAGCAGCCATGAAATTAAAAGACACCTCCACCTTGGGAGGAAAGCGATGGCAAAACTAGACAGCATAATAAAAAGTAGAGACATCTAGAAATTCATTTGCATCAATTAAAGAGGATCTATACTTTAGAAGTAGATTTTATTTGAGTAATTGTTGGGTTTTTCCATAGAGCTATCATTCCATAAGATCCTAGGCAATAGATAGTGCTTGTCAGGTTGGTGTAAGAAATAACATTGGGTTCTAGTAAAAGGGCTGACATTGAGAGTTAAAATAAGTGGAAGATGGTCACTGATTATATAATCACCAATAGTGAAGATTCCAATGAAGGGGAAACTCTAAAATAGTATAGACATCATCACCCTGCCAACAAAAGTCCGTATGGCCAAAGCAATGGCCAAAGCAATCATCACCCTGCCAACAAAAGTCCGTATGGCCAAAGCAATGGTATTCCCAGTAGTAATGTATGGCTGTGAGAGTTGGACCATAAAGAAGGCTAAGTGCCGAAGAATAGATTCTTTAGAATTATGGTGCTCGAAAAGACTCTTGAGAGTCCCTTGGACTGCAAGAAGATCAAATCAGTCAATACTAAAGGAAATTAACCCTGACTGTTCCCTGGAAGGCCAGATAATGAAACTGAAGCTCAAATACTTTGGCCACCCAATGAGAAGGGAGCACTCACTGGAGAAGACCCTGATGCTGGGAAAGACTGAAGGTCAAAGAAGAAGGGGACGGCAAAGGATGAGATGGTTGGACAGTGTCACCGATGCAACGAACATGAAGTTGAGCCAACTTCAGAGGACGGCGGAAGACAGGAGGGCCTGGCATGATGTGGTCCATGGGGTCGGAAAGAGTCGGACTCGACTGTGTGACTGAACAAGAACAAACAACAAATAAGCATGAAGGTGAACCATTAGCCTCTGAAGAAGATTTTTGAAATAGAAGATTTATGCCGGTATTTCTGTAAGGCTATAATATTTGCTAGTTTTGTAAAGTAGCAAGGACTGCTTAAAGAAGCCGCATGCATTATCTGAAATCCAACAGGAGGCTTTATACAACTATATTACATTGCAAGTTTTGAAAGTTGGCAAGGACTGCTTAAAGGAGCCACAATCCTCATTTGGAATCCAACAGGTGTAGCACGATTACATTATATTGTGAGCGGTGAAATGTGGCAAGGACTACTTAAAGGAGTCGCATGCATCACTTGGAATCCAACACGCATGTATTATTGGAATCCAACACGCAAGTATTTGAAGGGCTGTCATGTAGAAGATGGAGCGGATCTATTCTCTCTTGCTCCGGATTGTAAGACTAGGTCTAATGGGTGGAAATTACAAGGGAGTCATTACTGGCTAAATGTCAGGAGAAACTTCCTAACTGTAAGAGTGGTTGAGCAGTGGAACAGACGGCCTCGGGAGGTGGTGGAGGCCCCTTCACTGGACGTTTTCAAGCGGAGGCTGGACGACCATCTTTCGGGTATGTTGTAGGTATGTAGGGCTATCTTTCGGCTATGCTCCAGCAGAGTGCAGGGGGTTGGACTAGATGAGTCCCTTCCAACTCTAACATTCTATGATCTACCTCATAACACACTCCCTATTTCATGATCATTTTAAATGGAAAACTCTGATTTCCCACTGGTCTGCTGGGGCTGGGGTGCCCTGCCCACCAAGCTGTCTTGGAGTGACTTTGGGGAACCCTTGTCAGAAGTCTCTTGTCATGTCTGCCTTTCTGTCATTGCATCACTAATCGTTTTAAATGGAAAACTCTGCTTTCCACTGGTCTGGTGTAGCTGGGGTGACCACCAATCTGTTGTGGGATAACTTTGGGGAGCCTCTGTGGAAACTCTGGGGATGTCTGCCTTTCTGTCCTTCAGAACCTGCTTTTGGAGACTTGGGGGGGGGCTGTGAGCATAGGGGGGATGCTTTGGAGTTGCTTGCTTTGCTTCAAGTGTCTAGTGGGGGGGGGAGTCTGCCCAGTTGAAGTTTCCCTGTTAGTTTGGTGTCACTGGCTTGTTCCTGAGCTGTTCCATAGATTCCTGTAACTGCAGCTGTCTTTTCCAGAGAGAGCACTTGAGGGAACCTTTTTGAGGAGTCTGTAACTGGGAACTCAGAAATGTAATCCGCCCACAGCTTGGAGAGACTTTAGAAGAGCGGGTGGCAGGGTGAGGATCCCTGAGCGTTTTGTGTGTGTAGCTTGCAGAGGGGTCCAGTCTATATACTTTTGAACTTGTGCCTGACATGTCCCCCAAAAGCAGTTTTCTGGCTTGACTTTAGTCCTGTTGGGCTTGCACTGCCACAGTGGCACTGGTTCTGCTGGGTTTCAAAAATGCCCCCTACAGTTTCTGCTGAGAGACAATGGAGGATGGGGGCACCTTCTTTGGGGGCTGTAACTCGGACCCAGTAAATCCAATCTCTCCAAACTTGGAGAGTATGTAAAGGAGAGTCAGCTGGAGAACCCCAGCAAGTTTTGTATCTCTAGCATGCACAGAATCGATTCTATACACTCCTGAACCTGTGCCTCATTTCCCTAGAGAGCATTTCCTGGAGTCACCTTCTGGGGGCGGGGGGTTCATAACTCAGACCCCATAAATCCAGTCCTCACCAAACATGGAGGGCGGGTACAGGAGAGACAGCCAGAGTTTCCCTGTGAACGGGGGGTGGGGGATTCTACAGTGTCACAAACTTCATGAACTAAACCGGTACATCTAGTGCCAAAATGTTCATCATGGTTCATGGTTTGCGAAACACACAAGCCCTGAAACATGAATCGAACCACATTTTCCTGGTTCGTGCCTATCCTTACTAAGAACAATACTGTAATAACACAAAGCACATCTTTACAGAAACCCATTAGGTACTTGCAAACATTTTTACATCCTCCATAGAAACTAACTAGTATTTCTAGATTAGCTGCACAAATCAAATATTTAAGAAGCAAAAAGCCCTCCCTGAATTTTGGAAAATATGCCTGGGATCTACATATTCCTTTTTCCCTGTGAAAGCTCAGATATCAGAAATGGTACAGTTGTTTTAATTTCCACTAGGTTTTTATTATTATTATTTTTTATTTATCTGACAGACATAGACAAGAAACATATAACATAAAACAGATCCTACATCTTACATCATAATTTCTTAGAGATAGGAAACTGGAAAATAGTTATGTATCTTTACTATGAATAAATGTTCGTTTCTAATCATTTATACACATTTGACCACACAGTTGTTTTAATTTCCACCAGGTTTATCAGTTACAGAATCATGTGGTTTTTAGCACAATGCACATGAAAAAGAAAGCTGACCTAAGCTTGACAATCTGTTTATATGATAGTTAAAATGGTATTCCAAGCAGAGGGTACACATAGTTTAAAAAGATGTACTCTCACCCCCTTTGCACAATGGCCTTTGAAACTGGTTTACAATGAACATATGGAAAGAACAGCTTATCCACCTGCTATAACTTATAGCTTATCTCATTGCTATAACTTACCTTTCTCACATCTGAGCTCTTTGGTTCTGTTGTCCAAGTGATAATCCTAGAAACAGCAAGTTTTGCCTCGCTGGAATTCACAAAATCAGTTCGGTCCATTTGTCTGGCCAAAGATTCAATGTACTTGAGGATTGCCACTTTAACCTAAGGAATAACAATATAAAATCTTTCATTCTCACACGCAGTAGCTTGTGGATCACTGCTTAATCACTGTGGATCATCTGTAGATTTTCTGAAAAATAAAATAAATACTGCAACAAGACCACTTTCCCCAGTCTTCATCATCAATTATTGTACTGTACTTTTGTGATCAGAGAAATACTTGCGCTTCAAAACAAAGATTTTCCTCACCTTAAGATTTGGCGTTTGGGTTTGATCTACAATAAACCTCATCAGGATATTAAACTGCTGATCAAATGGAAAGGAATCCCTATGGGGGGAAAGGAAAAAAATGCATGACAATATATTTAATTACTAGTTAGAGGATTTATACAAAACTTGACACATAAAGACGTTGTATATAATCAACTAAAGTACAGGGGAGAATATCTGAGCTATTCTTCCCCTCTCCTCTTTCCTTCTTCCATTCGTATACTGAAGGATCTTGTCTAGGATCAGCAGTTGCCCTTCACAAAGTACAAGATGTAAGACAAAACTGATAAATACTAGTAGTTGAAAAGTGTCTGTTATGTCATTGCTCTCATCTAATGCCAAATGGGGGGGAAATAAAAAAAAAATCTGCCTTGACAATCAGTGACATACGCAGCTCTTCTCCTAGTTCTTCAACACATCTGGTGATTGTAGATGCAGATAAACGGACACAATTAACACAAGACACCTTATCGGGACACATTTCCTCCATCACTTTAACCATGCACTTTTTAACAAATTCACCATCAGTGAATGGCTTACCACTCTCCGCAATACATTTAGCAACATGATAGCTGGCCCTCAGAATTGGCAGGTTCTCCTCAACATGCTTTCTAAAAATTTTGCTGCAAAAACATTGATTTTTTAAAAAGAAAATTTATCTCGTTCACTTGCACCTCTTCTTGATATATTGAGTAGCTCTTGTAACGGGATTCAAAGTGCCTTTTAACATTGTACTCCTTTAATACTGAGTCAGTTTCAAGACATATCAGGCAAACTGCTTTATCCTTGCTTAAAACGAAGAAGTACTCAGTAGTTCATTTGTCACTAAAGATGCTCATCTGCAATTTTTCATTGCTTTTGCAGACAACTTACAGTATTTTTTAGTAGAGCAGCAGTTGCAGAGTTTCAATATAATCCTTGAATAAATAAAAAAAATATGAGAAGTATAGTTTTAGGGGTCTAACTCTTCCCTTTCCGATCAAGTCCGCCCTACTCTAGCTGCTATTAGCTGAGAATTTTCATTTCGACCAGGGGAAAGAAGAAAAGAGACCCCTGCCTCTACAGTTCTCTGCCTGCCTCCCTATCCACTACAGTTCTCAGAAGTGTTGGGCCATATGCACAGGCTAGGGAGAATTTTTTTTTAAAAAAATGGATTATGAATCTGACCTACCAGATGACAGAGCTGGAATCCTCAGTTCACTAAATACTATGAGATTTATTTCTTAATAAACATACTTCCTTTAGGCTTAGACCTACACATGCAAATACTTTAAAAATTGGGCCCCTCCAAAAAGGAGGGGGAAAGGAGGAAATGGATATAAAATGAGTAAAAAGTAGTATGTTGTGTGATCATGAATTATATCCTAATAAAATTTGTTTACAAAAAAAAGATGCAGACTATAAAATATATGGTAACATATTGGCAAGATTTAAAAAAAATATTAGCACAAAATATTCATCAAGATCAGGCGGGCTTCCTTCCTAAAAGACAAATAAACCGTGTCTGTTGTGGGGAGGGGAAGGGAAAGGAGTTTATAAGCCGCTCTGAGACTCCTTTGGGTAGTGAAGGGCGGGGTATAAATCCAATCTCCTCTTCTTCTTCTTCTTCTACTTCATGGGGTGTCTGTTGTGGGGAGGGGAAGGGAGAGGAGTTTGTAAGCTGCTCTGAGACACCTTTGGGTAGTGAAGGGCGGGGTATAAATCCATTCTCTTCTTCTTCTTCTTCATGAGAAGACTCCTAGCCGGAGTGGGTGGGGGAGGGGAGGCAGAAGCAAGGGAGGCAAAAAGTCAGAGCAACCAGCTCTTGCTGAGGGAGGAAGGATGCTTTTGCCTGCAGCCGCAACCTCACCAGTACCCTTGGAAGCCATCTGGAGGAGCCTTGATGGGTGGAGCCTCTCGAAACGTTCAGTATGCAAAACGCTTTGTATCTCTCTCTCTCTCTCTCTTTTTTGCAGAAATATTGGCCTCCTTGCTGTTCTTCTCCGGCCGTGTCTTGCAAAAGCAGGCCAGACATCTCCTGTACCCATTCGCACAGCTGCTTTATCTGCCTTGTGTACATATACAGACTTCAACATGGTAACGCACGGAGAGGGGGAGTGAAAAAGCTGAGTGGTACAGACACCTGAACTTTGCTGGCTAGCAAAGCACCCAGAATGGCCTAAATGCTAGTAGGGAGGATAAGACCAAGACTCTGGACTGATCAAAATAGAGGCTAGAGTAAGTCTTGCCTCCATTATATTGTGGCTTAAGTTAAATTACCTTCCCCAAGGACTAACATCCTTAATCCTTTGGGACTGTTTTCAATCTCCCTGGCTAATGGCAGTCCACCACAATTTGAGAATTTTAGGCTTGTCTGCTCAGACCCTCCTAGTAATGGGACTGGACCGAGCGAAAGCTCTGGTAAAACAACGGGTGTTTGACACTGAGCGCCAGAACGATATTAATAGTGCTCCAAAGTGTTTGTCACCAGAGAATACTAGATACGTTGTAGCACCAGCTGCTTATTTATCATCATTGGAGATACCATCTCATCGCAGGGCTTTCTCCCTAGCTCGTTGGAGAGCACTCCGCTCTGCAGTGGTCGAGGGGAGATATAGAAAGACCCCCATATGCATGAGAGGGTTTGCCCCTGAGGAGCTGTTATGGTTGAATCTATGGAACATGTCTTGCACCAGTGTGGTTTCTACCAAGAAATTCATGAGAAATTAGTTCTTCCTTTCCTTAGAAAGCCACAGGGCTGCCCTGTTTCTGAAATCACTAGAAAGCTCCTCACCGGTGCAAACCCACAAATCACAGCTTCTTGAGCAAGGTTTTTGGCGGGCGCTAGCAAAATCCGTAAAGTAGTGGTTCTTAAATTTAATACAATATTTATTTAAATCTGAGACATCTTTTATCAAATTTAAATTATATTTTTATCCTCTGTTTATTCTGTTAATTTTTTAATGTATATGTGTGTATATGACCTATTAATAAATCTGATCTGATCTGACCAAGAGGGGGCTGACAGAAGGAACCATGGAGACCAGAAGAAACAACGTTGCTATTGTGTTTGGGGGGTTTTTGCAAGAAAGGGACACGAAGAACAGCAGGAGATGGTGCCTCTTGAGGCAGGGAGAACAGTGTGGGTCTGAGGGGAAATGCCTTGAGAGCAGGGGTCGTTTCGTAGAAAAAGAGCTAGGGGAACTCATTAGC